CCAGTAAGATGGCAAACTTCTGGCTTCTTTTCGGGGTCCTCGGTTCCCGCCGGTGCTACCTGAAGCCCAATCACCTCTTGCCCCCCTCCCAATCCCAGCACCTAGCCAACAGCCACCAGCCCCATAGAAGTAACACCACGATCACCCTATGCCCCTTCCTATATAACCCAGCACCTTTCCCTAATAAAGCGGAACTCTCCGGTGAATTGCTGCTGTGTGTCGCTCCTTTCCTTTCAAAGCTGATAATCAGCAGGCAAGTCATTACATGATTGGGGAATTAGACCAAACCTCTGTGGCAAACAGATTACAGCTTGACCCGAACATCATAATTTTCTACCACAAGCAATCTAACAAATACCATTTCCTATGATAAACATCCATGTCTTGAGGTGGACACAACAAGAAAACCCAAACCTTTCAATATTACCTAGAAATTTTTGTCCTAACCAAACAGACTTATAAACACATTTTAAAAAATGAAAACATACAAAATAAGTATAGATTCAATTTAAAATACTTAGTACCAGGATATGTACGTGTTTGCTAAATCTCTCTTGTCTTTTTAAGTGAAGGCTAATGGTTATTAAGTACTTAACAATCTCAAAAGCAATAGCTTCCTCAGAGGCCCCTGCTATTGACATCAAGTCTCATTTTAACTTTCAAGGCTAAGTTCAAGATATCTGATGCTTGTAATTTTCTTAATCCACTTAATGACATAGAGAAGTTTATTTGGATGTGAACATTACATTAGACAGTTTTTGATTATTCAGCTAAATATCAGGTAACATTTCCTCACAGCGGTAATAAAAAGGAGAGTGGAGAGGAAACTTGGAGTGATGGATACATTATGGCATAGACTGTGGTGATGGTCATGGATGTAGATTTACAACTCATTAGATTAAATCTGATAACATGATAACTCATCACATTAAATATGTACAGCTTTTTGTGTATCAATCACACCTTTGTAATGTTTCTGGTTTTTTTTAAAGAGCCATTTTTAAAAAGCAGGTGCTTGGAAAGTAACAAGGTTTGCTTCACTGAATGGACAAATGGCCTTGCTGGAGGGCTGGAGAGAGGATGTCTAAAACTGCATCCACTTACAAGGGTCAGAACGCACCAGCCCAAGGCTGCATGGCACCAACAAGGGGCCTTGGCCTTACTTCTGGATGCTGGTGACTTAAGAGTCCTTCTTGTTTCTCCCCACCCCTATATACCTGTTGTCACTGGGACCACTGAAATTGGATTTAGGGAGAATTACAATCCTGTATATCTCAGCCTCCTGATTCTAGAAACATGCATAAAGCAAACATGATGTGGGTCAATCCATTAACCTAGGGCTCTGGTTCCTTCTCTCCCTCCCACCTCAGGCCTTACCAACTCCTTCCTACCCCCACTCCTGCTTCTACGTTCCTAGATGCACAGGCACAGGACTGGGGCACTGTGAGTAAAATTGTAATATTTCCAGAATATCTCACCTGGCTTTAGTATATCTGCATATCAATAGGTATTCAGAGGTGGAAAGAAGTATGGCTTTAGTGCATTTGCATCATTCCTCAGGGGTGAAGAGAAGTTCATCTTCATATCCATGTATAATTACCTGGGTAACTGGAGGGCGTATCTATACCTGAGAGGTGAGGGGGAGGGCCGGTTTTGCTTCTGCTGGAGCAGGAAAGAGAGAAGGCCCCAGACTGCAGTTTGTAAGCAATAAACAGATTTTAAACTTCATTTCCCCTTTTGGCTGAGTTCAATTTTTAGAGGTATTTTGCCCCAAGATTTCCTTTCCCCAGACTTCCAGGCACCTACAGGGCAGGAGGAACCAGCCTTGCTCATCAACCTGCAGGCTTTCTTTGGAGACCCAACTCTCTGCCTCCAGAGGGTTTCATTTCCCCTTTTGGCTGAGTTCAATTTTTAGAGGTATTTTGCCCCAAGATTTCCTTTCCCCAGACTTCCAGGCACCTACAGGGCAGGAGGAACCAGCCTTGCTCATCAACCTCCAGGCTTTCTTTGGAGACCCAACTCTCTGCCTCCAGAGGGGGCTGCCTGCAGCCCAGACGCTCAGCACTGGAGTCTGAAGGATCAGTTAAAGAAGAGCAGCAAGTGGGAGGGGGCAGTGGTGCTCCAGGAGGGAGAAGGTGCCCTTTGTTTGTTTCTGTTCCTCCCCAGGTGGCCCCCAGATGGAGAGTGGGTTGGGCAAACAGGTTGCAAGTCCAGGAAAGGAAATCCTGGGGCAAAATACCTCTAAAAACTGAAATCAGTCAAAGGGAGAAATAAAGTTTAAAATCCGTTTATTGCTTACAAACTCCTACTCCAGCAGAAGCAAAACAGGCCCTCCCCGCACCTCTTGGATACAAGTAAGCCCTCCTTGCCCAGGTAATTACCTATTGATATGGAGAGGAACTTCTCTCCACCCCTGAGGAATGATGCAAATGCACTAAAGCCATACTTCTTTCCACCTCTGAATGCCTTATTGATATGCAGATGTACTAAAGGCCAGGCAAGATATTCTGGAAATGTTGCAGTTTTACCCACACAGGTGCTGAGCAACTTTTGGGGTAGTAGGGGCCACCTCTTGGGCAATTACAACAGAGTGGAGACAAAGGTGTTGCCAAGAACAGCAAACTAAGAGGAACTGGTGAAAGGTACCTGGGGCAGACTGGCTAGGGTGGGCTGATTCCTATACTCCCTGCTACTTTCCTGAGTCAGCTCTTCTGAGGTAGCAGCTGCTAGAATGAAGGCTCTGCCCCTAGGAAGGGGAATTAGGGAGAGTGGCTCCTAATCACCCACACACCTTTGAACCATGTTCATCAGTGTAAACCTCTTCTAGTATCTTTTCTGTTTTTCAGGCTGGCCCTCCTGCAGTGGCTATGGCCTCATTACTGTCATACTATTATGCTCCCCATTTATAGATGAGAAATATTTCTATAGTCTTGTCTAACTCTACCAAGCTAGGGACTTAGGAAATGGTCTGTGCCCTTTGAGAAACTTACAATTTTCTTAAGAATTTGTCCCAGAGTTCTTCCTTTGCCCCTCCAGACCTATTCTCCACCTTCCTGGTGATCCAGGGGTCCAGTCACAGTGGACCACACATGGGTGCTACCTTCCAGTTCCCAGCTAGGTCCAGCCAAGGGGTGTTAGGGTCCAGGAACCCAGGGATTTCCTGAGAGAACGAAGCACACAGGCATGGAGATGTAAGTACAAGCAAAGTCTTTATTCAGCCAGCAAGCTGGGGTCGACAGCACCTCCCCTGACACGCAGGCCAGAGTCCAAGCTGCCGACCCCCAGGCAACTTTAGGTATTGTTTATATAGGATTTTCACAGCTGTTACACCGAAGCCCGTGCATTTCTACAACCAATAATTTTAAAACACACTCTATATTGTAACCAATGGGAAGCATTGTAACCTTTTAGGGAACGCGTTAGTTGCCTAACCGCTTCCATTGTTATCTCTTGCATTCAAGCATGTCTATGTGACTTATCACTGATTACGCCCCCAGGCTGTTGCCCACTTCTAGTTATCTAACTTAAAGCAGGCGCATTTCTAAGCTTAGCCTCAGGTAGTTTACTCAAAACTGGGTGGCTCCTGCTCCAGGCAGCTAGGTTAAACGTTATCAGTCCTCTTTCCTAATTCTTGATGCTCTCTGCCCTCCTTTACATTTCCCCCCTTTTATTGATCAGACTAAGGAATCTTCTGCAGCGGTATCTAGGGCCTGATATTTTTGGTGAAGGACCAGGAGTTGGACGGTGTCAAACCTTTCCCATACAAACCTAAGCAGCCTGTTTACTATGCATGGACCGATTGTAAGCAACAACAGCAGGATGACCAGTGGCCCCGCAACGGCCAAGAGGAGGGTAGCAAACCATGGCTTGTGTTTGAACCAAGACTCAAACCAGCCTTCGCTGCTTTCATATTCCTTATGCCGCCTCTCTAGATCTTTTTTTAGCTTGGCCAGGGACTCCCTGACTGCACCAGTTTTGTCTACATAGAAACAGCACTCTTCCTTTAAGGCTGTGCACAGCCCACCTTCTCTTAAGAACAGGAGGTCCAGGCCTCTTCGGTTTTGTAGGACCACCTCTGACAAGGAAGTGAGGGATTGCTCCAGGTCTGACATTGTCTGTCAGAGTTGTTCTAGGTCCCTATTGATTGCCAGCCTCAGGGCTGTAAGCCCCTGTTCCCGAATTACAAGGGCTGCGACTCCAGTGCCTGCCCCTGCTAGCCCTAGGGAGAAGAGGGCCCCAATGGTCAGGGCAGTAACAGGCTCCCTCTTTCTCCAGTGGGGGCTCGGTACTTCTTCCCAAAAGGAAAGGAGTGATTCATGAGAATGATATATTAAGCGAGGTAGAATGGCCACAAGTACACAAAACTCATTATTAGCATTGAACACAGAGGTGGATAGGGCCAGGGTGAGGCCTGTCTTTGAACAGAGCCACCAACCCGAGGAGGGTATAATCCACTTTCCCTGCTCCCACGGGGTGCTATTATAGGAGCAGCATAACTGGCTCTGAGCCGTCAGGACTGTGCCTACACATGTACCGGCAATAGAGACCTGAGCAATCATAAGTCCCCACGGTTTCCCATCCCAGTAAGTGGGATGGGAGTTATTGATAGTGTAGGAGCCATTTATCCTGATTGCTTCATAGAAGGGGGGTGAACCTGGGTAGCATAGCCAACAGGGATCAGTGAGGGAGGAAATGGTGTGGTTAAGAGTCTCTACTATTGCCAGTACCATTTCCCACATGAGATTATCTAACCCGGAGGGAGTGTGCTGGGCCCATAACCCAGAGGTCGATGGACTCAGTCTTCTTGTGGGCTCGAGGGCAAGCGTTCTGGTCGACATTTTCTCATCTTTTTGGCCCAGGCTCTTGTCCTGGATTGAAGGTTTCTGGGGTTTAGGGTTTTTAGTAGGGGCAGGGGGAGCTAATGCCTGATTTGGACCTATAGGAGCTGTTTTTGTACGGACAACTAGTTTAATGGTTAAA